CCTCAAGAACTGGTAACTGCAATCAAACTTCCTGGAGGTTGTCAAAATAAGTCAGTAATAAAATAGCCTGAAGTGTGACTGTGGCATCTGGGGCTGTCGAGCAGAAATGCCGACATTGTCCGGCCACAGTGCCTGTTCCCTCACATCTTCGCCATCCAGCCTTTACCTGGTGCAACTGTGAGGCTGCAACTGGGAAGGGCCACAGTGACAATCAGAGAAACAAAGAAAAACACAGGAAAAACCTTCCTATGTGAACATACTGTGGCTAGGATCCTAAGAGGCAGCAAGACAGCTCTTCCCAACCGATGCCCAGAAGTGTCTGGGAGTCGGTGACTAAAGCCCATGACGGTCTCCTCCCAATATCAAGATGGAATTATGTCCAATATTCTCTACCTAATCACACAGGGACACATACAATCTACCTTAGAAAGACTTCCAATATGATTAAATTGGGGCTACAGGTGAAACTCAGATGTTGGAGAAATCTGCTACTGATGGACTGTAAATTGAACCTGCAGTTCTCTATGGACAGATGCCAGCAAGGCCACCACAAATCTCTACAGCTGGAAGCTACTATGTAACAAGGGTAATGCAAAAAAACTCATTGGCAAATTGTCTTTTTACACAATCTCTGTCAACAAGTGACTTAATCTGGTGATTTTCAAACTGCATCCTACAAAGGTGCAGCAAGCGTTTTGGGAGAGGGCAACACACAGGCGCTCCAGACTGCAACTCCCAAGAGCCAGGGCAGCTCCAATTGGACTGCACTTCAACAGCTCAGAACTGTTAGCAGCACTGAACTGCTGCTGCAAACACATCTGTGGAATTCAACTAGAGAAGGCAACTGGAAGCCATGAAACTTATTGCAAACAAATAATTACGGCTGCCAGCAGAAACATAAACAGGGCTTTGAACTACTGCTTTTGCTAACTGCCATTTCCTGGAACCATCACACCCATATCACCGTGTTCATGTGCAGGCACATAGTAACACCATCAGAAATGTTAATGTCACATCACCACAACACTCCCTGAATGCTCACAAAAACCCCCGTACACAAATGCACACAAGTTCATGGAAACAAGGAAGGAGGCATTTTAAGTTCAAGGTGATATTGTTCGTGACTTTCTCTAAAGCAGGGATCCACCTGCCATCCACAGATTGGTGGTACAGGGATCAGTGAGCTTCTCAGAGTACAGGAACACCTTCAGTGCTACCTAGATGCTAAATCTGAGGAGAAAACAAATAACTCATCAATTTCCCAAAGAGCTGTGTGACAAACCACCGCTATAAGATACCCCAAGATCTCAAATACCAAAAGGAAAAAAAAAAAAAGATGACGACAACTGACTGCTGGGGTCGTGTCATCAAGCCAACTGCCTGCTGACTTGTTAGATCAACATGCTGGCTGGTTTGACTCACTAATTAATTTGAACATGTAGTTTACATACTAACTAGCTATGTGACCAAGTCACTCACTTGTCTGGGCCTCACTTGTCCTTTCTGTACAATCAGAAAGCTCTTCAGTTCTGGGGCTCTCTAGCCAGTGAATACACCAGTGCCGAACTCTACACCCGGCAGCCCAGAGGCTGACAGACTAAACGCTAATCAGGGCCCAAGCGAAGGTCAAGTAACTTTTCTGATGTCTGGCAACAGTGCCCACAGAGCCCACAGCCCTCTCGTTCTAAAGGAAGCCATGCAGACAGCTCCTACAGAGGACACAGCCCCGAAGCAGGACGTTTTCTGTCTGGTGACCTCCCATCCCCACCCGCCAGCATTCAGTGGGTAGGAATGGGCACCTGAACCCAAGGACCCAGGCTCTGGCTCAAAATGATGCGCCTAAGCCACCTTTCTGTCTCCTGGGCTGTAAGGAGGAGACAGTCCTGTCCTAGTCCTCACTGCTGCTCAACAAAGATAAGGTTGGTACAAGCCAACGGGAGAGGGAGTGGAGGCTGCACGAGGAGGGCCAGTGTGGGCAGCCCACGGAAAGAGCGACATCCTTCCCACCGGGGACACACCGCAGACAGCAGTGCTCACCTCTCCCTGAAGGTTCTATTCCCCACAGCCTAAACCACCACAGCTGCGCCTACACGTGTGCCCACGCGTGAACCACATCTCAGAACACAAGGGAAAATTCAGTCACAAATCAGACACTAACATGCTCAGTGCTTCATAAAGGAAAACCGACAGCTACGGAGTTCATCGCATGACAATGCATCACCTGTCACCTGGAGGCGGCCGCGACGACGCCCTTTGTGTCAGCCGGGCGCTGCGGCTCCTCAGCCGCGGGTTTTACAACCGCGTTTCATAAAGTTTACAAACACTTAAAGAGAAGCACACGCCCAGCAGGTTCTGTTTCAATAACAAGTCTGCAGCCTGCCCGGTTTTTTTTTTTTTGCAAAGGCGCATGAGTGGGCCCGGGGAAGCCTTCTGCAACCGAAGACGAGAAGCGAACGCGATCGTCCCCCCAAAGACAGCAACTTAGATCCCTAGGAAGATTTTTCTTAAACTCAAAATGCCACCCAGTTAGTAAGATCACAAACGGTGACGATCCATCTTTGGAAAGCCGCGCAGCTGCCTGGGTCTCCCCTTCCCAAGTTCTCACGGAGCCCAGCCCCTTCTCTCTGGCTGGGTGCGCGGCCCAGGACCCGCTCCCTCCCCAGACCCACGACCCCCTCTCCGGGCCCCTCCTCCTAGGTCTCGGACGCAGGACCTCTCCTCCGGAGCCAAGACCCCCTATCCAGACCCAGGTCCCTACTCCCGGGTCCCGGAACCAGGACTTCCATTCCTGGAGCCAAGACCACCTCTCCAGAACCAGGACCCCCTCCCCGGATCCAGGACTCCCTTACCCCGGGTCCCGGAGCCAGGACAACCCCTCCCGGGAGCCAGGACCCACTCTCCAGGCCCAATGACCCCTCCCCTGGGTCCCGGGACCACCCCCTAACCCCGGTCCAGCCCGGCCAGCCACTCACCCGGGGGCCACCAGCTGGCCCGGATGCGCGCACAGCTCCGTACCACGCCGGCACGCTCCGACCGCAGCCTCCGCTCGGCCCGGGCGGCGCGCACGCAGCCCCCGGAGACGGCGCGGACCGGG